ATTATTACTTAAGGAGAGAAGAAATGAGAATTTTGCTCTTAATGAATATCGAAATAATTTAAGAGGAAAAAGATGTATCAAACAGAAAATTTTTAACTACTTGTTGTACCGTATTTTTTTTTAAAGTTGATGATTATGGGTTGGAAAAAAGGAACCATGTCGTTGAGTCTCACATGGGAGAGCCAACAAATGTGAGGAAATAGTTAAGATGAGCCCAAAATTGAATGTGCTGTCAACTAGGTTGATATTAATTTCCCCAAATCAAGGCATGCAGGCATAAGCTGCTGATAATCAATTTCAATTAGGATATAGTTATAACATACAATCACCACTTAAAGTCCTTGTTACTATGATTAATCGAATGAAACAAGCTGCACATTAATTATACGCCCATGACAATTCTTTTCTTTCATCATGACCTTAATAATTCATTAAAACACATCATTTAATATGGAATAATCCTATAAATAATCATAATGTAATTTAAATAAAATCATACCAGTAAAATAACTTTAAAAGTTTGCGATGGAACTGTTCATATATATATCAGACTCAGAGCTTTCACCTAGTGGATATTGTGTCAACCAGAGGTGAAGAATAAAATTAGTTACGCGATTTTTACGCCAACAAACTCAACTAAGTAGAAAACTCATACATGATCTACATAAAATTAAATGAAAATATTGATAAATATAAATATGTAGTTATAAGATAGCATCCACAAGCAAAGTTTAATATTTATTAAGGTGTTGTTTGTTTTCACTGTGCAAACTCTTCAAACTACTTATGTCTGCGTCGCGCAGACTACGCGCAGACATTAGGCTTCGCAGACTGTTTGTTTTTTAGAAGACAGAAGCTCTTCAAACGTCTGCGCGAGCTCTTCTTGGTGCAGACTTGGTTTTATGTCTTCAAAGGCCTTCAAAACTCTTCAAGAACAATTATAAAATATAGTTATTTATTAAAATAATTTTAAATAATTTAATAAGGTTATTTATTTTAAAATAATTTATTTAAAAATAATTTATTATAAAATAATTTATTATAAAATAATTTACTTTAAAATAAATTATTATAAAATATCGATTGATTTATTTTAAAATAATTTATTTTAAATAATTTATTAGTATGAATTGATTTATTTTAAATAATTTATTAGTATGGATTGATTTGTTTTAAAATATGAATTGATTTATTATTGTAGTTGTGTGGATTGATTTATTTTAAATAATTTATTAGTATGGATTGATTTATTTTAAAATATGGATTGATTTATTTTAAATAATTTATTAGTATGGATTGATTTATTTTAAAATATGAATTGATTTATTTTAAAATATGGATTGATTTATTTTAAATAATTTATTAGTATGGATTGATTTATTTTAAAATATGGATTGATTTATTTTAAAATATGGATTGATTTATTTTAAATAATTTATTAGTATGGATTGATTTATTTTAAATAATTTATTTGTATAGATTAATTTATTTTAAAATATGGATTGATTTATTATTGTAGTTGTATGGATTGATTTATTTTAAAATATGGATTGATTTATTTTAAATAATTTATTAGTATGGATTGATTTATTTTAAAATATGAATTGATTTATTTTAAAATATGGATTGATTTATTTTAAATAAATTATTAGTATAGATTGATTTATTTTAAATAATTTATTTGTATAGATTGATTTATTTTAAAATATGGATTGATTTATTATTGTAGTTGTATGGATTGATTTATTTTAAATAATTTATTAGTATGGATTGATTTATTTTAAAATATGGATTGATTTATTATTGTAGTTGTATGGATTGATTTATTTTAAATAATTTATTAGTATAGATTGATTTATTTTAAAATATGGATTGATTTATTTTAAATAATTTATTATTGTAGTTGTATGGATTATTTAAATTTCAGTATTGTAAAACTAAAATTATTTAAATCTCAGTATTGCAAAATTCTTTTAAGTTTAAAAAATCAATTTATTTATATTTCAGTTTATTTATATTTTAGTTCATTTTAGCAGTCTGCAGACGTTAAAAAACAAACAATCTTCTTCTTGCAGACTGCAGACTTTTGGTCCACCTCTTCTGCTGCAGATGCCTGCAGATGTTGTCCGCAGACTGCAGACCTTTTACCTCTGCAAAAACAAACACCACCTAAGTAACGAAACTTTTTATAAAAAATTTCCAAAAAAATATTAAAGGGAAAAAGTGGTGATCATACGATAGAGAAAAGTTAAAAGCCTCATCATGTCTTGATCCTAAAACTGAAAAGGAAAAATAAAAGGAATGATAAAACATTTCAGTGATGAAAATGTAAGCTAACAAACATATATAATGACGTTACTTAATTATAGACTTGCAATACTAATAAAGATCATCACTCTTCTTTGTCATATATATTTATCTAATTTATCTTCGAATTAAGTGAAATTTGGTTATAAAATATAACTAGTCGAAAAATTGGTCCAATTCATCATATGTAATGTGAAGGCAATGAGGGAACCAAGGGAGGACAGGTGGGACCATGCCCCCCAAAAATTTGGAAAATTCAATTTTAGACTCTTCAAAAAAAATTAAAATAAATATCCACGGAATTTTTAGAAATTCATTTTAAGCTTTAAATTTTTGAATGTTCCAAATTAAACCCCTCTTATAGTTTTTAAAAATTCTCACTAAACCTCTCAAATTTTAACCATTTTAATTAGACCCCATTTTTTTTTTGAAAATATGTAAACTAAACTCTTTAAAATTTTTAAAAATTATAATTAAAACCTCTAAATTTTGTAAAGTTTTAAGTTGGTCCCCCAAACTCTATCACCAAGTTCCACCATTGTGTGAAATCATGTTTTAGTATTATTAATATTTTAGAAAATAAATAAACTTTATATCAATATTTTTATAGTTTAATAATTAAGTTTATGGTATGGAATAAAATACTTTTCAATTTTTTTTATGGATATGGCACCCAAATGGGTAAAATCGTGATTAATTAACCACAACTTTATCCATTTGCCCAACATTTTTTATTTTTATTTTTTTGAAAATGATTATTTCAAACTTTTAATGGCAAATTCGTTAAGCCATTGTTGAACATTAACGTTTTTCTTTAATTTTTTTATTAAATTAAATATTATTATAAAGTAATATTTATTCTATGTACTCTCAATCATTTGACTATCAATACTCATTCTTACCATCGTTAATATTCAAACCTGTAACCTACATAATCAATAATAATTAAATATAAAATTATAAAAAAATATGAAAAATTAAATATGTATAGATTACCAAGAAAATAGCATGACCCAAACAATAATAAAAGGAGTTGACAATTTTTTGACGGGATGAATAGGGCCACCACCCACATGCAGCTTTTTTTTTTTACTATTGGATTTCCCACACACAAAAAGCCTGTCATCAGCTAAGCTGTCTTCCTCAACTTGTCTCCCATTTTTTATTAATTATTTTTTATTGCTTTCCGAATTTGCAAGAAGCATTCATCGAAACAACACAAACCCCGTTTTCCTCGTTACCTTGTACAGATTGTTTGATCTTCTATGCAGGTTGCCTGAACTTTTTAAGATAAGTTTTGTACCCTCCGTTAATTCGAGAGGTTAAAAAGAAACATTCAAGAAAACGAAACGTTTTGATACAAGTTACGTCGTAAACGATAGCAAGCGGCGGTTAGAAGGAAATTTTAAAAAAAATGTCATGTCCTTGTAATATTAAAGAATTTAATACGAAGTGATTAACAATACCGAAATTGAAAATTTTATAATATAGTGACCAAAACATAAATACAGTACAAATTTGGCGACTAAACGTGTTATTTAGCCAATTTTTAAGTAAACAAAGCTGTTAAACATATTAACCCTATGTATATATACTATTTGGAGTTGGTGTAACAGTTAAAATTTTGGTCATGTATTTGATGCATTCCAAGTAGTAGGAAGCAGAGTTGTCTATCCAGCTCAGTTGGTAGAGCACAAAGTTCTTAATCTTGAGGTTGTGGGATCGAGTCTCACGGTGGGCAATTCATAATTTGGAAGTCTCCCACGAAAGTTGCTCTCAATCTTGACGTTGGGGGCAACCTACTATACTACATCCCCTTATCCATTACATATGAGAATAAGGGTCAGCTAATTTTTAAGTAGTGGGAAGCAGAGGACAGTGTAGTCTGCTATTTTTCCCTTAAATTCTACAATCTGCAGCAGCAGCTCCAAAAAGTTAGTCTACAAGAAAATAAAATGAACCCCACACGGTTGAAGTTGCCATCTATCCCCATTCCCCCACCACTTTCTCCATTGGATCACACCAATCACTAAATCTTTTTGGCCCCAAACCATCCACCTTCATGTAGCAATATATACAATTTGCATAAACCATTAGTGATTTCAGTAATAAAAAAATATATATTATTTTCTCCAATGAATCTGGATTTGAATAATTAAATTTAGGGTGTGTGCATTGTCAATAAATTAAGAAAAATTCTAAACATATATCACCTCATAATCAACTCAAATTATTACATATATATATATATATATATATATATATATATATAAAAGTTGCATTACATTTATATTATATTCAAACATCCCACTTATCTGCAATGTATGTATATGTTTTCAACTAAAAGGATTCTGTGATAGCTAAACATCAGCTTTTCTGAAATTTATTCCAAAAATAATATGTAAATCTTATTATTTTTTTAAAAAGACCTTTTTACTTTTTAGGGGGTGCTTATGTATATATAGGAAAAGATATTGATTTTTCTCTGAAAAAGAATCGAGTCTACACATTTGAGTACGCCGGTCGGTCCTTGGTTCAACTGCCGCTGCTGATGAGCCTGTCATGTCATAATATCATCATTGAAAACACTTGTTATTGCTTCTTTAACACCACCTTACAGTCCTCCCAGAAACTGCAAATTTTGAGCTTTCAAGAGCGTTTTAGCTCAGCTGTGTTTATCTTTCACTAGTTAAAGAAAAATGCAAGTTCTATCAGGGAAATCGATTTCTTTCACAATGTTTATATGTCTTATAATCGTACTTATTCCACCATTTGTAACCTCAACTGATGAAGAACAAAAGAAATCCATCGGCAGCGATACAATCAATAATCACAACATTCAAAAGGTAATGGAATTCACGTCCTCATCTGCTTATGTCTAAAGGAGTTTATTACATTGTTTTTCCATTACAGATCTGTGGTTTTCTTTTTCCTGGTTTTGGTTCTTATAAACAGGTGAGTCATAAACTGATGTTTGAGATTACACTGCATGGATTCCTCCTTTGGGCATCAATGGGGTTTCTAATGCCTATTGGGATACTTGCTATCCGAATGTCAAATAGAGAAGAATGTGGAAGAAGACTTCAAATTTTTTTCTATGTCCATGCAGTTTCACAGGCAAGTTCATCTTATTACTTCTAACTGTTTATTTAATGCATCTTTCCCAACAATTTGTAATCCCCAATTTAACTATAATTAGGAGCCTTTATGTATAGGTTATAATTTATGTTCCGTTCACTTTCCTAATGGTATCTCTACAGAGTTACAATAGCATTGGACAATTTTTTCTTAAAATGACATGTTCCAAAGAGTTTTACGGATTTAGGATCTTTGGATAAGTGTAAATCTATGGATGAAATTGTTCTCTTCTTTTTTTTTTTGTACAAATTTTCCTATTTTCAACTTTTAATTTCAATCATCAATTTACACCTCATCCGATGATTCTAAATCAGTGTAAAACTATAAACAAATTTACACTCCTTAATGGAATCCTACCCCTCTCTCTATATATATAACTTTAAAGAAAATATTTTACCTTCAACTTGATAAAGGAGATTATCATGGAATCTTGAGAGGAAAGAAAAGGCCAATGTTATGCTGTTGTAATGAGCCTTGTGTGGGGTTTTGCATTAATATAATCACAGAGCAGAAGCTGAAGAACAATCTATCTTAAGACTTAAGTGAGGGCCCATTAAAATTGTATTATTTTGAATATATCATATCTTTCGTTTTTCAATATGCGTTGGACATAATTATCGAACAAAAATTCTATAAGAAAAGAAAATGTATAGTGCAACATTAAACTTGACAGTTCTTTCTATCAAGATGATAATTAACTCTGATAGTTTTAGTGCATGATTGTTAACTGTGTTTCATTGTTGAACCGTTAATTTTGTTGATGGCAGATGCTTTCTGTACTTCTTGCAACAGCAGGGGCAGTAATGTCGATCAAAAACTTCAATAATGCCTTCAACAATCATCATCAAAGACTAGGGGTAGCTTTATATGGTATCATATGGCTACAAGCCTTGACTGGAGTTTTACGTCCATGGAGGTAAACTAAATTTAACGATATCGTTATTGGTTTTACTTGTTCACACCAATATCGAATTAACAATGATCGAATTACTTAGTTTTACGACACGAAAGGGTTTTGTTTTCTCCAGGGGATGCAAGGGAAGAAGTGCCTGGTTTTTTGCACACTGGCTCCTGGGAACTGCAGTGTGTATTTTGGGTGTAATCAGCATCTACACTGGATTGGGCGCATATTATGAAAAGACATCAAGAAGAACTGAACTTTGGGCCATAGCTTTTACAGCTGAGATCTCTGTGATTGTTTTCATTTACTTGTTTCAAGACAAATGGGTGCATATAGAAAAGCAAGGAGTGATTTTGGGCCATGAACCAGTAAGACATACTGAAGAACACATTTCATCTACCGATGAGATGAAACAAAACGAATCAGCAAGTGAGAATTGTTGAAAAGAAAATTGTTACAAAGTGACTTCGATTACTAACAATTGATATTATTCTTTTCATCCTTCTCTATTTTCCTTTTTCTCGGGTTTGATTTTGTTGTACAAGGGACTGCAGTTTCATTTGCATGTTCAAAATTTTCTTAGCCGATTGACAATGAACACTCACTCTAAATTTTCTTAGCCGATTGACAATGAACACTCACTCTAGAGATGCAGCTGTTCAAATTCGAGACCTCGATACTCCCTTTTACCGCTTAGTTTGCTCAAATTGGGTTCCAGGGACCCATTACTTGGAACTCCAAACATAAAAATACTTTTCAAAATTACCTTTTTCCCGGATATTCAGCAAAGTTAACAACAAAGTGCATTATATTTACCCAACCAAAGTTAACAACATGTTCAAATGTTGAACAAAACAAAAGATACCAACAATTTCAAAATCATTTTGTAATTCGTTCTGTATTGGAAATGGGATCATTCACAACCCATAGGTCAAGCTTGTCTAGGTGTTTGTTATCACCAAAGTCAAAAATGTTTCTTATGAGGCTTTTCGATGTCTTATCTGCAACAGATACATATCACTATCATCATTGAGGCCATGCTTTAAAGGAATTGCATACATATGGCTCTAACCTATATAAGCTCTTCACTATATTATTTGTTAACAATGCATGTACCCGATCCCCGAATCGGATGAGCTGAGCCTAGGTAGCAAACGACATTCTTCTATGATTAACAGATAGTTTGGACAAAAACCGAAAAGAAAAAACACTGACTAGCTGGACATAATTTCAGGGCGATGTAATTCAGATTTACTTTTGAGAATGCATGTATCAAGGGAAAAGCTGGACATAACCTGTTAATATAGCAATCCCTAATATTATAAAAGGTGGAACAAGTACGAATGCTCCGATCGTTGCAAAGAAAACCGAATCATTCCTCTGAGAAACTTCATTCAGGTAAGCCTGTCTCCTGATATTTCTCTTCTGTGAGATGGTTAAAAACCTTGAACTAACCTTCTTCAAGTTCTTGCCCAACGGAATACTAAAATCATCGTCTCTGTCCCCAACTAATCGAGCGAGCTGCTCACGAATTGTGAGTTTCCCAGACCCACCATCACTCTCATATCCTGACCAGGATACATGTAAGAAATAAATGTTAACAACCTTGCAAATTGTATTGTTCTTCAGGCCTTTGTCTGAGAAAGAAATGTAAATAATAATTTGCATTTGCTAGGGATAAGATTGGCATACCATCTGCAGCAGAGCTCGTAGAACTTAGTTGTTCCAAAAGATCAAGTTGTGTGCGTGTAGAAGACAATGAACCTTGACAAAAAAAAATATCAATATTCGAAATCAAGAGTCTAATGATTATTGAACATCAATTAGATGGATAAAAATTTCAGCAGCATCACAATGATTAAATACAATGATAAACAAAATCAGAGCAGAGCAGCTTATAATAATTTCAAAGGTAGCAAAATTCTGATGATTCAATGCTCTATCTTGAACAAGAAAACAACCCTTCATGTCTTTGAGCACTTACCAATCACATAGTAAGTAAATTCCATCAAACCCCAAAAAATTAAGAGGAAAAAAGAAGAAGGAACATTCAACTAATTCAAAGAATGAAAGGAAGTATGATACCAGAGACAGCAGGAGGGTCTTCCTCTTTGAGTCCACCTTCTTTTCCTTCTGATTGAGCAAACGTTTTACTAGAAGAAGAAAGGGTGAGCTTGAAGGGGTGTTTGTGCTTTGGGTAAAGCAATGGAGGAAAGATGGTATTAGAACAAGAGCATGGGGTGGAATTGAGAGAAGTAGCCATGAAATAGAAAGCCATGGCGAAAATTTATTATTTGATGGTTGTGGGAAGCAGAGGTTTCATTCTAGTTTCTGCTAATGCTGGGACCAAGATTGTATTTTGATTGCAGTTGCCAATTGCGGAGCTTTCAAGTTTCGGTTTGTCCAAAACTGATGTCCTCCACATGTTCGTATGAGAGGCCCTTTATGTACTGCGTGGTGGCTATCCCTCCCATGCCTGGTGGCCCAACTTGATATTTTTATCGGTTAAATATATTCACTATAGAGTTGCATGTCTCTATGCCGACTTAATACATTATTAAAATATGAGCAATTGTTTGATTTTTCATTTAATTAAAAGAAAGTAAAAAAAAATGGTATTATTGATGGAACTTATTGGTTAAAACGATTTTAGGTGATTTTTTTAGTTTGAAAGGAAAATTTTAATAATGATCAAACAACTACCAGTAAATATGTTTTTTTAAGAAGAATGATTGTGGGATTTTTCTTTTCTTTTTTTTCAATATTAATTGCGAGATTTTATAATTACTTTTTAATGTTACTGTCAGATTTAAATTTATAATAATCATATATATATTAAGAAAATAAATAAATAATATGATTGGTCGTCGATTGATATTGATGAGCTTATGAGATTTACTAAAGTTCATATTAGTTATGATTTTCAAGGAGTATAAAATTTCAGGAATTCATATTTAAAAGATATGTATTTCAAAAAATTTATTACGATAAGATTATTCAGAAATTTCTTAGAAATCTCGAGAAAATGAAAAAACTTAAAATGAATATAATAAATATTATTTATGTTTCTTTTATAACTCAAAACTTTTATTTATGTGTCTGTGAAAAGAAACTGAGTAAGCTGTTAGAGGATGATGGACCTTCCGGCCATTTATTTAATTATTATCCAACTGTAATTCAAAAAGTAATAAAAAGTCAAAAATAACCTCATCTATCTTGAGTCGAAGGTATAAGGTCGTTATGGTCAATTCGAGTGAAACCCGACATCACGAAAGAAATATGACCGTTATAGATTCTGCAAATCCAGGCGTTTCAAATGACTTATAACTCTTCTTTTAATTTTGAATATAATTGTAATTATTATTATAACCCTTCAGCAGAAGCCTTCACACAACCAAAAAAGGAAACAAAAGAAAACCCTGTAGCCAAAGCTTTCTCTTTCTTGTTCTCAGGCATGCATAACAATTCAACCTGATCTATAACAAGAAAGAAACAAACAAGAAGAAGTAATAGATTTGGTTTGTGTATTCCTTTGGAAGTCTTTTGTTTTGGGATCGATGGCAGCGAAGCGTGGAGCAGAGGAAAAGATAACGGAGGACGAGGAGGTGGTGCAGGAAATGGGAGGAGGAGCAATGGCGGTGGTGGAAGAACAAGAAGAAAAAGATAAAGAAAAAGAAGAAGAAGCGCACCCATATGCATTTCACGTGTCTGGACCTCGCAATGTGGCTAGACCTAATTGGAGAGACCTCATCAACTCTAGTTGGTCAGTAATTTCATCGCTCTTCTTAAGTTTAAATGCTTAATTTAAGATACTCGTTTCCTCTTTTTTCTCCAAAGCTTTGTGCTTTGAATTGCTAACATGCAAATTCGGTACATAAAATGAAGTTTAATGCTTAATTTAAGATACCCATTTCCTTTTTCTCTCCAAATCTTTGTGCTTTTCTCACTTATTTGATCAGTCAACTAAGTTCTTGTGTTTTAATGATAGTAGTAGATTCCTTTGGGAAAATTGAGCCTTTATGAGCAGAGAAGATCTCTCAGGTCGTTCTTGATTAAAGAATGTTCTCAAATACATTACAATACTAGATTTGGATGCAAAAGTTTTGAGTCAGGGCTTTGAATTTTTGAATAACAGTTCAAAGTTAGCAAAGGGATATTTGAAAATTGAGGTCTAGCTGATCAAGAGACTTCAAATCTGCAGGCTTTTGTCACTGTTTTGGCATTGATTTTAGTGGTTTATCTTAGGATTTTATGCTTGACCCATGGCAGACCTAGGTCTTACAATAATAATTATAGTTATTAGGGAATACAGTATAATTATGATACGAAATTATAATTATTTTTATCATTCTTTTCTTAAAAGACAGAATTTTGGATCTCTCGACCAATCAGTCTAATGAATGATTCGCAACTGCAGGAAAGATGCAAACTATAAAAGATCCGTAATCGCATGTTTCATACAAGCGGTATATTTGCTCGAATTGGACAGACAAGAGAACAGAACAGATGAAAATGTCCTTGCTCCAAAGTGGTGGATGACCTTCAAGTACAAGTTGACCCAAACTTTGATTGATGAAAGGGATGGATCCATATTTGGAGCAGTATTAGAATGGGATCAATCGGCAGCACTGGCTGACTTTGTCCTCATTAGACCTAGTGGAGCACCAAAGGCTGTTTTAGTGCTTCGAGGGACTTTACTCAAAGGTCCAACTATCAGAAGGGATATTGAGGATGATCTCCGTTTTCTAGCTTGGGAAAGCTTGAAAGGTTCTGTGAGGTTTAAAGGAGCATTTGAGGCCTTAAAAGCGGTCGCTGAAAGGTATGGAAGCAGCAATGTATGTATTGCAGGCCATTCCTTGGGGGCTGGTTTTGCTTTACAAGTGGGAAAAGCATTGGCTAAAGAAGGTATTTATGTGGATGCTCATTTGTTTAACCCGCCCTCTATTTCTCTAGCTATGAGTTTAAGAAATATCGGAGAAAAAGCGGGGTCTGCTTGGAAGAGACTCAAGTCGATGCTTCCTTCAAGCAGTGAACCTCAGGCCAGTGATGATGAAGGAATCAAGGATAACCCTTTAGGCCTAAAGAATTGGTTAGGCCATATTTATGGAGATAAGGCTTCTGTCAGATTGAAACAATGGGTGCCTCACTTATACGTGAATAACAGTGATTATATCTGCTGCCACTATACAGAACCAGATGGAACAGAGGGAAACGATGCAGACAAGGAGAATGTTGGACCTTCAAACGGACAAGTTGCGGCGAAGTTGTTTGTAATGTCGAAAGGGAAACAAAAGTTCCTTGAGGCTCACGGATTGGAGCAGTGGTGGTCAGATGACTTGGATCTCCAGCTTGCTCTAAACAAGAGCAAGTTGATAAGCAGTCAATTGAAGTCCTTGTACAGCCTCCCAGCTACACAAGTTCAGAAAAGGCCAAGATAACAAAAGGAAAATATATTCATTTCATTGGATGACTCGGTTTACAAAGATCCATGTCTGTCAAAATAATGTGTGCATGTTTTCGTTGTGTTGGCTTGTCTGTTTTCTCTTGTTTTATTTATATCAGCAATTGAATACCTAATTTCCCGAAATATTGATATAATCATTATTTACAAAGATCCATTGTGCTTGACATTTGATCTAAAATGTTTAATCATGCAGCAATCAATGATGGTGTACTGAAACAAATTACAAACACCTCCGTATTAACCATTAGTATAATAATTCATAGTCAGATATTGTTCAATCAGAGCGGAACCTATAGCATCAAAAAGCCAGGACTCAATATTCTGGTATGCTGACCAATCCGAACGCCCTGGCTCGTCGACAAAGGCACACGATTGTCGATTGAACATCAACATGTCCCGGTCAGCCGTCTGCATCGGGCCGCCGCTTTCTTGATTTATTTCTTCCAACTGAAATGCTATCTCAGATGACTTGAACGTACAGAACGATGAATCCAAAGATGTTGCAGCGATGGAAGGGGCAGCTATTCCGATATTTTCCATGACCGCGATCTTTTCAACTTCTTCGGGTATATCGATAATTCCGCTCCAAGACCATGTTAGCTCTTGAACAAGCTGCTTGAAACTTGAGCTATCTGTAATGTAAACCTTGGGCCTCAAAACATTCATCAAGTCGTGGAGCTGTTTCTCTTTCTTAAATGTTCTCGCCTGCGCCCGACTTGCCTTCTTCTTCCCCATTATTTCAGGAAAAACTTAGTTGTGGTTTGGTTATATGTAGGGGGTGAGCGTTCGGCGGAGTAGAATCGAGTAAAAGAAAATTGAGTTATTCCAGTTGATGAATCTTATTTTATAACTCAAACTTGAATTGATTTTTTTTCGAGTCAAATCGAATCAATAAAATTCGAGTCAAGTCGAGTTTTCGAGTTTCTATTTAAATTTAATTATTAATATTTACAATATTATGATATTATTTGATTCCAATTTAAATTGTTTAAATAATTTGAGTTATTCAAGTTGTATTTTATAACTTAATTTGAATTTGAAATTTTTTCGAGACGAGTTTATGAAATTGCAACTTGAAATTAATTCGAGTTAATTTTTTTTTAAATTGAATCGAGTAAAAAAATCAAGTTTTTCAGTAAAGTTGAATTTTATTCACCCTTAAACATACTCAATAAAAGGGTACGAAAACAGATGTACACGTAGGTATGAAATTTCCAATGAATTGGATATAGATCTTGGCAAGTGACCTTAAAAATCTTCTGCTTCTTTTATGTGCTCTTTTATATGTCTCACTAATAATTTAATGCAATGTGAATTAATGAAAATCTAACAGAAGCTGACCGTAAATTTACCTAGAATAAGTCTTGTTCTGAAATCGTTGTTTATTGTTTAGTTCATGGTGGGGCTATTGCATCTCCTTTTTTGGGGATTGCCACTGAATATCCTCTCTGGTTGGAGACATACATTCCGGCCACGTTTATGATGACTCCAAATTTCTTCTTCGTTAACGAATTTCATCTACAATGTTAATTACGACTTTTAGTTAACTCCACGTATTGAGAAGTGAGTTTAAGATAAGATTAAGGAAGTGAGAGTATGATTATGAAATAAAATGTTAATTATCAGCTTTTTCATCATTGGAATCCGAAGCAGATTATCGGTGCAGAAGCACATGTTCTTCTTATTTTGCACCATGTTTTAGGTATTTCATTCAGTCTCTGAAGACTGGGTTTATAGTACAGCTTTGATACTGATTTGAGCAAACTAAAACCGAATATAATTTACGTACTATAAAATGTTAATCTATAAGGTCTAGCAGGTACATCGGTCCCCTTGGCTTTTGGACTATGGTTCATGAGACAGCTGCCGGCTCCATCTACAAGTAATAGGCAAGTGCAGCCAAGAGCAACAACTTTTATTACTTATGGAACAGCAGGAAGGCCTCATCATCATCAGTACCGGCCTCATCATCATCAGTACCGGCCTCATCATCATCAGTACCGGCCTACTGCAACAAGTTCGGAAAATCAGGTATGATATCCATTTCCATTTTCTGTCAACTTCTTAGTATGCTAGTAAATTGGAGGCTACTTAATCAGTCAAAACTTTAGAAGGAGAAGAATGATATACCGATCACATAGGCTATCGTTGAAATCTATGTTAAATGGACTCGGGATGAGTATTGGAGTGTGTCTGACATAGGTATGATTAACTTTTCCCATATCACGGTGGATGACAACCCCTAAAGCCGGTTTTACTTTTATATTGCAGGTGTCAAGAGCAAGTCCAATTTAAGCATGTATTTGACCAAACGACTAAAAACAGAACACCATGTTTCTCTCCCGGCCTGTCTCCAAGTATGAAAAAGGGATGCAGCGGTCGCCATTGGAAGAAGTAATTGGTGCATTCCAGATACAAATGACCCTGTTTCTTAAACACCATAGTTTGACATGGTTTTGGTTTTGTTTGCTTTAGGATCTATGATTCTTAATCATTATGTTGTAAATTCATCCTGAGGTTTTCGTTAGAAGCGGTTGAGCACAGAAGCTTGAACAATTTATCGACTCTATGGTTGTGAATGCATAAAACAGATTTTAAGCAGGGAAAGGAAATTATATTTTCCTTTTGGTGCAGAGAAATTAGAAGCAAAGGGATATTCAGTTTGCATACTTATTGGCTCAAAATTTGCGTTTTAATTTTACCCTGAGTATATAATGTACACTCGCTAGAAAAACAATGAAAATCTGAAAATATATATAACTTTCAAGGACTAAAAATTTTATTATATAAATCTATTTTAATATTTTGACGATGAAATGATATATTTGTGATAATATTAAAATTGAGTGACTTATTTATAATTGTTTTTTTAAAGTGACCTATTTATTACTAAATGTTTAATTAAGTAACCTCAGATATAATTTACCCTTTAGTTTAATAAGGAATACAAAAAGCAGAAGCAAAAGCAAACATTTTCTATCCCCATCGTCTCTTTCATCTCCTCCGTCTCTCTATGGGACAGAGAGAGATTTCTTTGTTTACTCCTACCATTCCTCACCTAAATAAAATACCGTCTTAACCCTGCTTTATTTACACCGCTTGCCACTCATGTCTCCGACTTAATTCTAAAACGAAATCCCCAAATATTATTTTTAACTCAGATTTCCATCTTCTTCTTCCTCTGTTGCTGCTGTTTCTGGGGTTTTCTTTCTAGGTTGGTTATTGTAAATATGGAGAGATCCGTTGGCAAACTTCCTAACAACTTCTCTCAAGCTTCCTCAGGTCTTTTTTTATTTGGGTTTCAATTCTTTCATTTGTTTAGTTTTTCTTTTCAATTTAAGTTTTCGCTGAGATACGGAAGAAAACTAGCTTCCTTGCAAAGATTGGATCTTTACTTCATTTTCTCAGCTAGCAAACATTATATTTATTGTCTTTACTTCTTTATCCTTCTAGTTAACTCTAATTCTAGGATTTGCTCTTGGAGGGTTTGGTTCCTTTTCTTGTTTCTTGCAGTTTGATGGTTTGCTAAGATAAATTGTATTTGTTTAATTGCTAACTAGTTTATGTGTTTTTCAGATAATGCGCTTTTTGATGCATCCCAGTACGCATTTTTTGGTCACGATGCTACGAAAGAAGTGGACTTGGGAGGTCTAGAAGATGGTGAAGAGGATTCTCCTGTGTTTGCATCCGTTGAAGATGAAGAGTATCATTTGTTTGATAGAGGGGAGGTGAGATTTCATTCCTTTGGTTACGTGTTGTGCGACGAATTAAAGTTAGTTTCTTTTGTCCTGATCGTTCTGCATTGCTTTGTTGAAGCTGCTGCCTTTTCTTTCCATGATATGATAACCCTTTTTATGAGCTTAAAACGTTATTTTCGTTGGTTTTGTTTTATACTTAAACTTTGTCATCTAGTTCTTTGGCGGTTTGGCCTTCAGTTTTGTACTTGTCACTTGAGGTGTAGTCTGTCTTGTTTAACACGTGTCGAAGTTGAAATAAAATTGCATTCTTATTAGCATACTTCGTGACTTCAAATTAAAATGTAAATACCCCATCATTGAGCAATAAGAAGTCATATTCCCTGGTTGTTTTGGAAATTAAATTTTTACAAAGCTTAATAAGAAAATTATGCTTGCCAATTTGGATAAAAAAACTGATACGTATTGAATGTAGTCAGACTAGTTGAACTTTCAATGGTTCCACAGTCTGACATGGTTCAATTTTTTTGCCCCAGTGAAAGAGAGGTTTTGATTTGGAAATTAGTTTCTTTCTCCATCCATTTGAAGTTTCCCTTTTGTAAAGCTGATATCAATTTGAGGTCGTTAACATGCATGAAAATGTTTTATTATTGATATTTATATCCTACGAATATGTATTCCTATGCACACTACAATTTTTTATTTTTTTATTTTAAATTAAGAATACTGTATGATAGAAGAAATAGTTGCCTTAATTGTTAACAAGAGATATCCGAAGGAAGAAAGATGTGCTCGTAAAATAAAGCTCTATTCCTCTATTATTATTGTTTGTAAGGTGAAGGAGTTATTGTATTGGCTTTCTGTTCCATTTCTGTTCATGTTTTGAAGGAATTTGTGTCAATTATCTTCTGCTGTTGTAAACATTGATTCTAGTTTTCTACTTAACTTTTACTTTTTGATGTTGCTGCCCATCATTTGACCTATATATAATAATCAGTCATGTACTAAACACAAATTTTGGTTTCAACTTTACATATATCTGGATTTTGAAATACTAGTATTTCAGCTTTATTTTTCTGTTACTCAATTTTCAGGTTCCAGGTTCAGGATCTTTGTCTGACATGGATGATCTGTCTACTACTTTTGCTAAGGTCAGTTTTTCGTTTGTAAAGGTTACAGAGTGATTGGATATCAATCTTTGTAAGGTTTGATATCCTTGTTTCTTGAGTTTCTATCAGCCTTTTACTGGTTTGTAATATAAGATCGTGAGGGAGAGATTGATAAAAAGCAAAGAATGGAAGTTACGAAGGTAAACTAAGAGTTGAAATAGAAGTAAAGAACCCAAAATTCAAGCAAAGTAGAGTAAATTAATGCATAACATTTGTTACAATTGTCATCTTTGTGCTGATCATTTGGGTTCTAGATGTTTGTAATGCATAGGCCGGTCATTATATATATATATATATATATATATTCATTGATCACCATTTCCCTT